GTCTCTCTCTCCCCTGTGGAGGGGCTGGTGAGTTCCACCCACTGACCTTGTCGTTTGCTGCCCAGCACGTGAGCCACCAGCGTCTTAGCTGCCCTAGAACATTGGAAAAATTAGATGTTTTTCTGTCTCCACAGTGATATTACTAGAGATGAATCTCAAGAATGACTTCATCTAATAGGAAATGTGAGAATTCACAAATCATAGCAATAAAGAAGCACCAGGCTATTAATATCAGGCTATTAAAAATCCATATAAAACAGTGTGCCCATGTATACCAGAAGTGAACCAGTGACCTCGGAGGAATTTGTGTAACTTGGTTTGGTTTGCTTAGAAACTCATGATTGCTTCCCTGAGACAGGGGCTTTAAATGAAGGTTGCATGTGAAATCTTTCCCCGAGTGAAGGTACAATTGACAACGCTTATAACAACATGAGCTGAAACTCATCCAGAAATTTCCAGGCCCCATCCTGCCAGCCAGGGAGAACAGCTGGTGCTATGATTTATAAGTAATCTTATGCTATTAGGCAACTTATATCCTCTGGGTCAGTTCTCTTCAGTTTCTTCCCTAAAACTGGAACCTGCCACCACTTTTAATAATGAGACTCTCGTCTAAAGTCTAGGCTACGGGCTGGATATCAGAAGCATACGCGCACGCGCTCGTTTAATAATGGATTTAGAAAAAAAAAATTCTGTTTGGAGTGATTAAAATCTACTTGTTCTATAGAACCAAAGAGAAAAATGAGAGTAAGATAAATTAGCGTGGAGTGGGGTACACAGCCCCCCACAACATGCCAAGCCTTCCTGTTTTCTCTGGTCCCTCAAAACTGAAACCAGCAAGACCTGAGAGAGCAAGACGCTGCCCTGGCATACGAATGAGTCTCCGTAAGTGGGAGGATGGCATATTACTGTTTCCAACCATCACACTGACTTTATTTGAACAGTTGTGCTTTTATACATTTGACATGATCAACAGCTCATCAAAGTTTCCTCTATCCCCAACCAAAGGTAAAGTCCCATATAAACACCCTACCTCTGCACAATCATCTCTTGCTAGCACAGCTGCATACAGAACGTGCCATTCCAGCGACAGAGCAGCGATAACAGTATTTCATCTGCAACACAGTGGAGCGCTCCAAGCCGGAGGTCGGAAATCTTCATCAGGATGGCCTCCTGGCCATGAGGGAAATATCTGAGTTGTCAGGCATTTACGATGAATGGGCACATCCGGCCCACGGGCTGGACAGGCGTCACAAATGCTGGTTCCAAAGGAAGTCTTGGTTAACCTGAAGCCTTGGGTTTATTGTGCTGAGCAAACCACTCATCGCTTTTATCTGCTGCCATTGCCTATGGAAAGAGAATTGGATTATACATTCATTGAAGTCGAAAACAAAATAGCCCACTTTCAATGAAAATCAAAGGCACATGGAAACAAGCAGTCCAGTCTCCACCACCCTGAGACCAGAAGAACTGGATGGTGCCCAGCTACCACTAGCACCGATGCTGAAAGGAGTCCCATTAAAAGGCCCTGGATAGAGTGTGAGGAAAAGGGGAATAAAATGCAAACTCCTAAGAGACGAGGCTTACTGGTCCCAGAGAGACTGGTGGGACCACCAAGATGCTGGTGACCCTGCATCGCCCTTCGGGCCTCGAGCTGACCTCACTCCGTGGCGCTATTCTCAAGCAGTAGGTCTATCGGGGACAGTACCTTAGGGAGCTATGTCCACCTTAGAGCAGGGCCACTGAAGATCAAAATTTACCCTAGGGCAGATTTCAGAAGGGGAGGAAAAAATAAGACCAGGGAGGAGGGGTGGTGGTGTGGTGGTGGTGGTGGTGGTGGTGGTGGTGGTGGTGTGTGTGTGTGTGTGTGTGTGTGTGTGTGGTGGGAGGTCGGGGCTGGGGGTGGTGTTGCATCAAATGAGATGAAACAAACTGGTATAACTTGCTGAATGTTAAATTGATGATCTGCTCTGTAAATCCTATAGGAACAAAGCAGAACTGCTTCCTAGGGTTTCAAAGACTGTAAATCTTTACAGGAACAAGTACCTTCAACTGTCTCCTACAGAGTGGCTGGTGGGCTTGAACCGCCAACCTTGTGGCTAGCAGCCCGAGACATAGCCCATAGCACCACCAGGGTCTCTTGTGCGATAACAGAGTCATGGACAAAGTCACATCCGATTGAAAGGAAAGGAGCAACTAACTGGGCCGGAGAAACAGTGTCTGCACACTCCTTTCCTCAGGAAGCTGACAGTGACGTCACCACTGGAAATCACAGGATGGCAATCCGAAGCCTTCTCATTAGAAACAGTGATGACGGCACCAGGAGCAGCAGATGGCGAGGGCTGCCCCGGGCAGCAATTCAGAGAAAGCGCAGGGCTGTGTTGGATTTCCTTGGTGTACAACGTCTGCACTATCTGATTTTTTAAAAAATGAGAACTGAAAGTACTGAAACGTCCAGGCTGTGCTAACAAAGCCACCAAGACACAGAGGTGTCTGCCTTTCCGAGGCCGCTCCAAAGAAGCAACTCTGGTTTGGAGAGTCTGAGAATGCCCCAGAGGCTGGCGGGAGAAGTGGGGGTTCCGTCTGAAACCTTTGGGTGGGAGGCAGGAAGAGCCACCTTCGTCGGTTACTGTAAACAGCTCACTGCTGATGTGACAGGGCAGCAGGCGGGGCGGACCGGACATACACACAGTGGAGGCCCTGAGGGGCTGTCAGAAGACCGAATAGTTTGGAATATTCCCAGATTGATGGTGTGGACAATGAAAAGGGGAGGGGCTGGTTGGAAGGCGGCAGGATCTCTTGCTTGCTTGCAGTTGGTAATGGGGTTCTTTTTTACAGGCAAGTAGAGACGAAAGAGATCTCAGGGGAAAGCCAGGCCTCTTGGTGACAAATAGCTGATCGAATTAAAGGGCCAGGAGAAACTGGCTCTGTTAATGGAAAACAACTCTACAGCTTAAAATCTACGAAATGCCAAGTCATGAAAAACGAAGAAACAAGTGCAATATGACACTGGCTCTGAGGATTCTGGTTCGAAGGCAGCAAGGTAACAGAAACCCTGTTGCATCAACCGATTCATTCCGTGAGTCATGCAACAAAGTGTTACGTGGGAGACAAAGGGCAAACTCATTGCTTTGAGCGCGGCTGAAATAGCCAGGTTGATGAGGAGACAGAGGGAGTCTCCGCTTTGGGTGCGGGGCACAGCGGACAGACGGACGGACAGCCGTCCCTGCTGACTTTAACAGGAGCTGTCCCACTGGAGTGGGAGGAGCAAGTTCCAAACAGGAGGAAACATCGACGGAGACGTAGAGGGAGGTAGACCCTGCGGGTCTGGTGGAGAACCGGGTCCTGCCTGTGTGCTGACGGGAAGAACTCTTAGAAAGGGAGAAGCCGAGGCTGTGGGGGGAGGACAAGAGACGAGCCAAAGCGCTAAGGAAGTGAGGGGAACGTTTGGGCATTCCCGTTCCGCAGGCAGAAGCACGATATGCACATGGTGCCGCCCGATGTCATGGGAAGTGCTGAGCCCTGAGTGAGGACCACCGAGGTGGCACAAGCACAGGGATCGCCCACTGAGACCCAGCGTCGGTTGCATTGGCCCCTCCCCGATGTCACAGCAGGAAAGGAGACTAACC